GGCTGGTCCCACTGGCCATTGTTAAGACGCTGAATGCAAGGGTGTCAGGGATGATGGATTATGGACTCACGCTGAGTCCAGAGCTGCCTCACAAGCTCCGATCCAGGGTGTGTACTGGTGCAGACAGGCAGGACTCTGGCGAGAAGGGAGAGACACTGAGATCTGCAAGATTTTCCCAAGTATATCTGGACCAGTGTTTTGGGCCAGAGCAAGACTTGGCAGGAAGGGCAGACGGGCATCTCCAGTGCAGGCTTGTGGTATGGCTGGAGAGGTGGGTAGGGGTCAAGAGAACGCGGCTGTCTGTAGCCATGTACTTTGATTCTAGTGAATTCGACTTACCGGGGCCCGGAGCTGACCACGGTTGAGACAGAGTGAGCAATGGCCACTGGATCTGAACAGAACTGTCAGCTCTAGAACCCGCCTGCCCTGGGGCAGAAGCGGCCCCTTTTCTTTCATGAACCACATCTCACTGACTTGCTCTCATCAGCTGGCTGTTCCCTCTAGAAGGAAGGCCAATTATATACGCAAAGATGATCTGGTCACCATAGCGTGCCTCATCTTCCCCCTCTGCTCCCCTCCCCTCCTCTTCCTCCATGCTGGTGATGTGTTTATTATTATTGGAGGGTAACAGCCAGTTCAGGTGATAGAGGTTTTGGTACTCAGTGCCAAATCACTCCTGGTGCATGAGACCTGTGAGAGAGCGGCAGTTACTATGAGAGAGGACTAGGAAACCAAGGTGAGTGCCCCACAGTGGGTCCCTATTCTGAAGCTAGCTAAGAGACACTGCCCACCAGGGGACCTGAAAAGCCTGGTTCTGGCCTACTTATCCACAGTTAGCCTGCTTGGCTCCTGCCTGCCCTCCGAACTGTGATGCAGAGACACTATCCCAAATAACAAGCTCAGGTGTCTAGGTGGGTTTGGGTGGCATCACTGTCCTTCTAAAATGGTGAAATCTGGGCATGCTGACTCCCAGCCCTTGGAAGGCTCAGGTAGGAGGATAGCTGTGAGCTTGAGGCTGCCCTGGGCCTCAGCGTGAGACAGCCTCAAAAACAAACCCCCAAACAGAATTTACTAAAGAGTGAAATCTGTGCGGGATGAGACACAGCAATGCCACAGAGGTGTGTTGGGAGTTTGGAGAACTGTCTTCTGCACACACGATCGCACATTCACTGCTACATGATATGGGCGTGAATAAGTCCTTAGTTCACTGACACCCCTCCTCCTCCTCCCTCCCCTCATCTTCTTTCCCACCCTCCATTTGAGGTACTTCTGTCTCTTTGTCGGCAATCAGGAAGGGGTCCGTCATACCCAATACTGAGGTTGGGCTAAAGATGGAACAAGGTCTGTAAAGATCATGGCAGCATGGATAAAGAGGTGACCGTGATGATGATGACCATGGCCTTCCCAGGAGATTGACCACTCTCCTCTGTCTTCCCCTCCTGAAATAGGCAGCAATTTTTTTAAATGCCTCAGAATACTGATATCCTTAGGTTATCTTTCCCACTCATGTTGACTTCTCTAACGCTTAGAGACTCAGTAGGAGCCACTCACCACAGCTAGTCAGTCATCCACCATTTGAGAGGAGGCTGCTTTGAATGGAATGTTCTCTATGTGCAGAAAGCACACTATATCAGATTTCCAAGATTTAGTAAAAAAAAAAAAAAGTAAAACATCTTACATATATGTTATATTGAAATGATCATATTTTATATATGTTAGGGCAACTTAAAGAAATTTTCTTTCTTTTTAAAGAATGTGGCTTCTAAATAATTAAGCTTATGTATGTGAAATGCATTAGAAATAGATCCTACTATGAAAGTTAAAAAAATAAACTACTGTTTAATGTCCAGCACTCATCCCCTCCCCCACCCCAGAAAGCTGGCTGGGGACAGTGTCAGGGTCCTCAGATGAGAGGACAGTGACAGAATGCTCTCATCTGCCTTTGCCTTGCCCTCGAGAAGCCCAGTCCTCCTGCTTCAGTGTTTTCTGGGGAGCCACGGTAAGGATCTGAGCTCAGGCAAGCTGAAACTGTTCTGAAATGGAAGTTCTGGCTCTGCCCCTTTTCTTTTTAGCACAGGCTAGCCCAGAAAGCCCAGATCAAAAGGCGGATGGATCTGATCAAAAGGCGGATCTGATGTGCATTGTTCTTGTTTTGAGCAACAAAAACAATTGGCTCTTACTGCAGAGCCTAAGGTGGCCTCAGCTTCACCATCCTCCTGTCTCAGTGTCCTGGGTTCTGGGGTTGCAGGGTACACCACCATTCCTGGCTCCACCAATGACTTCTAATTTGAAAGATTAGGTAATTGAATCTGTTACCTTACTTAACTGGCATCTTGTCTCTCCTTTGTTAATTGACATCAAAGCACAATGAGCTAAAGCCTCGAAGGGCATTTGGCAGAGGGAGATCTGAGGCCATGTGCAGAAGGAGGTGTCCTTTTTTCTCTTTCTGAGCAGAGGTAAGCCCTATATCCCTCACCTGGAAGGACCTACCTCCCACATACAGTGATTCTCCATAGGAACTAAGGAAAAGGAAAGTTATCCTCTCACCTCCACTGGGAAGCAACTGAACATGTCTCACCTCATTCCCACTCAGGAAGTGATTTCACACCGATCTCTTTGTACTTTGGTCTAGGCCAAGTGGAATAAATGGCATTTTCTTTATTTAAATCTCTCTTCTAAATAGTTGGTGATCTCATTGCGTTTCTGTTTCTAGGGGTGAAATAGGCACCCTGAACACTACTTGAGGTTTAGGAAGGGGTCAGGGCACCCAGATTGCCTCACAGGTGGTCCTAAGTGCTACCTGCTCTGGCAGTCTGTGTGAGCCCATGCAGCTGGCCTGCCGTTCGCAATGACATCTAGGAGCTGGCCACTCCTAGAAATGACCACAGCCTGGCAGGTACGGGTGATGAAGAAACTCCCACTTTCAAGGGTGGGAGGCTGTCAGACGTTCTCTTCCAGTTTCATATTTGAGATATATTTTCACAAGGCAATACTCTAAGCTTGGCCTTCTGCAATCAATAGGTCATTTGTGTTCTATATTAAGCAAGCTAGCAGAACAGCTCCTTGTACATACAGTTCTATCCAGACGCCAAGTTCTGTGACTGACGTTGGAGAGCAAACACATTCCCTGCTGAGCCATCTTCCCGTATCCACATGCAGATTCCCTCAGCTCCTCAGAGAAATTATTCATCTCCCCATTCCTCAATGTTTTGTTGTAAACGCCCTTTTGAGTTTAATTATTTTGAGTTCTGTACATAGAACTCAGGGTTTCACATATGCTAGGCAAGTGTTCTACTGAGTTACATCCCCA